AAGGTAATTAAAACAGTGTGACAGTGGGACAAAGACACATGGACCAATCGCAGGAAACTGAAAGCCCAGACACAGATCTGGGTATTTGTGAGAACTTCATACTCCCTAGGAAGTGGCTGGCTCACTGGCCCAGTGTGTAAAGGGTTTCACAGTGGTGGTGACACAGATGATTATCTAACCAGGAAACAATAAAACTCGACCTCTACTCTGTAGCACGTACAGAAGTCGATTTTTTAGTGGAAGTAATTCATAATGAAAACGGCATATGTTTAAGTGTATGAACGTTTGGGCTGACTACACGGGAATACGTAATGAAGTACAGTAGTCAGATGCTCGCCTAAACTTAGCATCACCATGAGTGTGAACGAAAGCCCCGCATGCAGACCATGCAGGTGTGTTATGCTGGCAACTCAAATACCACGAGCTGTGCCGCCTTCAGTTAGATGATTTTTCTAGACCGAGGAACAAGTTCCAAACCACAGATCAGTATTATAATTTCCCCTTGAATTACATTCCTGGAAGTTACACTTTGCTGAACTGTGCCAAAAATTACATTATGTTAACACGAGGAAAATGGAGTTAGGTTCTAGATACTTATTAAGTGGCTATCATCCCAGAGGGCACTGGAAAGTTGTACAAGATGCAGGGTGATTCTTCATTTGAGGACTGTCCCCACATTCCACAACACCCAACATTCTCAGCTCTCTGCATATTCCAAACACAATAATAACTAAATATGGCTTCACAGATCCTCAAACGTCCCTTGGCGGCATGCGCCTCCCTTGAAAGTTCAAAAAAAAAAAAAAGTTCTAGAAATTCTCATATAAGGAGACACATAGGAGGGCATTCATTGTAATTTCAGTAGCAAAGAGGAGGTAAAAGCTACACACCTATCAAATGGATTTATTATATTCTGGTCACGGACACTTCAAATGAACGGACTTGATCTATGTACATGGGCACACGAATATTTCTCAAAAGCAGTGTTGAGCAACAAAGCAGGTTGCAAGCCAGGAACAGTGTGGCATGTGTCTGTAGTGGGGGACTGAGTCTGTAGTGGGACACTGAGGCCGAAGCATCTCTAGATCCAGGCCAGCAAGGCCCTATCTTAAACAAACACAGACACAAATACACACATACAAAAATACAGAAGCAAATAAACAGCTGCCCTTTCCTTTTCCTCTTCCAGGGACAGAGTTTAGAGACACTCAGCACGGTCCAGTGTTTGGCATGCCGTTGTAAGCTTTCCTACAGTACAGCCTCTAAGAAAACTAGGCCGTCTCGAGCCCCTGGCAACAGGACAGTTCACCTTTATACCAAGAAGGTTGGGAAAGCAAACCCACATGCAGTGTGCGCCCAGGCAGACTTCAAGGGGTTCGTGCTGTGAGACATAAAGTCCTTATGAGACTGTCTAAGACGAGGCAGCAGGGCAGCAGAGCCTATGGTGGCTCCACGGGTGCTGAGTGTGTCTGTGACGGGCTCGAGTGACATTCCTTACTGAGGAGCAGAAAACTTGTGAATCCGTTGAAGGCATGGAGCCAGACAGCGAAATAAACAAGGAGCTTTTTAAAGTAATAATAATTAAAAAAAATCATAGCTTGAGGGGGGAAAAAAGCAAATAAAAGTAAGCTGTAAACTGAAATCCGAAGCATATTATTTACATTTTGAACTTAAAAGAAGTTATCTTCAATTACACACACACACACACGCACATATATACATATATATATATACATATATACATACATACATACATACATACATACACACACAAACATATATCAAAAGTATAACGGTATGGGTACAACTGGGCTGAGGAAATGGCTCAGTCAATAAAGTGCTTGCCCCAGAAGTGGGAGGAGTTAGATTACTGAACCCATGTGAAAAATGCTTTTAACTGCAGCCCTGGAGAGGTAGAGATTCCAGATCCTTGAAGCTGGCTGGCCAGCCACTGTAGCCTACTTAAAGTCTAGATCAATGAGGCTCTGTCTCAAATGAAGTGAACAAGAGTTCTTGAGGATGACCCCTGAGGTTATCCTCCAGCTTCAGCACACATAACACACACGTAAGTGCACCAACCCCGAACACACATAATAAAAACAACGATAAAAGAAAAATGATTATCAATTGAACACAGCAGTTCTGGTAAGTGTCTCTGGGAGGGAGGAAGAAACAGAATGGGACCAGCAAGGACAGAAGGAATTTTGACAATTTATGATGCTTCATTTCTTTAAGATAAAAACCATGAACAGAGTATCAATATTTATTAATCTGGCTGGCGGACACCACTATTTACTAAATTCCCCAAACTAGAGATTTCAATAGCTTCTAGTTCTTAAACACTTGCGAGACTTACTTTTAAAAATTGTTTTCAATGTTTATTTTTATTGTGTGTGCGTTGGTCTTTCTGATTGCATATATGTCTGTGTGAGGGTGTCAGATCCCCTGAGACTGGAGTTACAGACAGTTGTGAGCTGGCATGGGGATGGTGGGAACTGAACCTAGGTCCTCTGCTAGTGTTAACTGCTGAGCCATCTCCCTGGGCTGAGACGTATGAGACTTCTTAACTTTTATAAGATAATAGCTCAGTTTAGTGGTTTCAGGCCAACTCTCTGAGTGGCCGACACAGAAGAATTTCAAGTTCGAGGACCAGCTGGGCAATTTGGTAAGACGGTTTGAAAATAAAGTTACCAAAAATAAATAAAAAATTAAATAACCATGAGGGAGGGTCAGAGTTACCCAGTGGCGGAGCTCTTGCTTAGAACCAATCTCCCCTGTATCAGAGTGTACATTACAGGATTTGGGAACGGGGAGTCGGGACCGGAGACTCGTGATCAGTCAGGAGACTAACACAACTCTCCAGACAAGAACACTTGTCTTAGCTATGGAAATGGAAAGGGGTCAAAAAGGGTATCCGGAACAACTAGCATCAATGGCTGAGCTGATGGGGCTGCCATGGAGGAAACGTCTATTTAGGATTAGCTGCACTCTTTGGATATCACACAGTAACCTAGAAGACATGAGTAAACTCTTATCACCTAGAAATTGGGATAAATGACAGCTGAGGCTGGGAACATCAGAAGCATCGATCTTCTGTCCCCCTGGATGCTGACAGACTCAGGTGACATCAAGTCACACCTATGGTTTGACTTTAAAGTGATAGGATAAACAGCTCCAAGCCCTTATAAAATGAAGGTCATTATTTCATAACCAAACCATTCTCTTGGGATTCTTTTAGATTTTTTTTTTTTATTGATATGCGTGCGTGTGCATGTGTGTGTGAGGGTGTGATGTGTGTGCAGGAGCTTGTGGAAGCCAGAAGAGGGCATTAGATTCCTAAAACTGGAGTTACAGGCAGTCTTAAGCCTGGGCTGAGCCATCTCTCCAGTCCCAGTGATCACCCTTCTGATCCCCCTGAATCTACCTTCCCTGCAATTATAGGTGGGTGAACCACTCCCTTTTTATGACATACTGGGGATAGAACTCAGGGCTTTGTGCATGTTGTGCCATCTGAGCTACAATCCCAAGCCTCGGGAAATAGCTAAATTATTTGTTAGTGAGATTTGATTAAAACAAAACAAAAAAATGTCCATTTACTTAAGACTCAGAATACCATCCAAATATTCTTTAAGAATTGATACTTAAGCCCACAAAATTGTAAAAGTAAATTCATTGGAAACAAGTAACCCAGAGTAGGACGAAAACAATTTGTGGAAATTTAAACACCTTAGTGTAGCAGACAACAAGACCAAGAGAAGGCCAGGTGCTTTGTTTTTTGTTTTTCTCCCTGTGATGGAGGCTGTGAGGTTCCTTGTAAAGTTTTTCCAGATCCTTTTGAATGGGTATGTCCTGCATTCCTCCTCCACCTAAGGTTGGTTCTACAGGCCCTTTCACCCAGTTTCCAGGGAAAAAATGAAAAAAATCCTGCACCCAGGGCCCACTGGATGAAAACTGCTCACCACCAGGGGGAGGATGTTTGTTTGCTTGTTTGCTTTTGTTTTTTGAGACAGGGTTTCTTTGTGTACCCTTGGCTGTCCTGGAATTAGACTAGGCTGACCTCAAACTCAGAGAACAGTCAGCCTCTGCCTCTGGAGTGTTGAGATTAAAGGTGTGGGTCACCACAGCAAGACAAGATGAGGATCTTAAGAGAGAAAACTAATGCCTCAGTTCAGAGAACAGTTCACTGTCTGGGGCAGATGGAGATTACAGATAAGGCAGTGAGGTTTAAGGCTGCTGGTGGATGATACTATGCCCATATCCCAAATTTCAGAACCATCTCCTTGATAGCAATAGAACATGATAGATCACTGGACAGGATTGCCTTTCCGGAGAAATCTTTTTGCCCCTGGAAAAGCTTTGTAGACTAGGCTGGCCTCAAACTCACAAAGATTTGACTGCCTGTGACTCCAGCATGCTGGGACTAAAGACTAACGCCACCACACCCGGCTCTCTTCCTAACTTCCTTTATTGCTTATTCCAAACCTTCAAAAGTAGTTAGAATGGTCTGGTGTGGCAGTACACATCTGTCACCCTAGCATTCAAAAGGCTGGGGCAAGAGGACCACAAGTTTGAGGCCAGCCTGGGCTATTTAACAAGACCTATCTCAAAAAAACAACAAACTGGAGGACAGAGAGCCCACACTTTTTTTTTTCCTACTTTAAAAGCTTCAGCCTGGTTTGGGTTTTAAAACATTAGGCTAATGCCTCCATATTTGTTGGCAATCACGTGCAGGTCTGGGCAAAAATCAACTGCCACGCCCCCTAAAGACAAGGTGACACCTAACTGACTGTAGAAAGCGGGTGCATCACCGTCCTGCCCTTTTTACTGGGCAGGCAGCGAGTCAGTCTGCAGGCTGCAGCACACATCAGCTCCCAGCACCGCAGCTGGGGACACTGGGATCTGAGCAGTAATCCCAGGCCTGCCTCCGGGATGACCTGCGGTGCTCCGCGCGCCTCCCGCCCTCACCGTCCAGGCCTCTGCGGCCAGCCTCCGGTCCTCACCTGGCTCTCGGGTTCCTCACCAGGGCTCACCCCTCGCCCTCTGTCCCCTTCACCCGGGCTTTGGTCTACTTTGGACGAATCACAAGTAGGGGTTCATTTAAGAAATTCACAATGGGCCAATCAAAGCCGCTCTTTCAGCACTTAGCGTCTTCCTTACTAGCTGACGTTTGCCACAGCAACGCAAAGCGTGGTGGGTGGGTGGTGTGTACGTCAGTCTCCCTTACGCCCTCCGATTGGTCGACATGTACTCTCCTCAGTTTCGATTGGATAGCACTGCTTGTCAATCATACCTCTGTAACCATTAAACCTTTGGACAACAACGGGAAGACAGCCTCTCGCTGTCCCTGTTGAGATTGCTCCGACCGGTCTAGACTCGGGAGAGCTGTTCCGCGGTCTAGACACCAACGCCTGTCCCTCCATCTGATGACCAGTCCGCGGGAGGGGCCTAGGATTATGGGGGGCAATCAGATCGGCTTGGCATTTCAGGGTCCCTAACATCCCTCCTGAATTGAATCCAGATCACTAGTTAAAATAACATCACATTCTATTATCCTTACTCGGCCTTAATTTATTGGTAGTTTTTCTTCCCTTAGCTTTTGACATGTACCGACGAAGCATGGATCAGTGAAACCAAGAGACAGACTTGGGAAGAGGTCCGAGGTCAAATAAACCCTTTTCTTCATTGCCAGGTTATGCTGGCGGCTGGTCCACACTTGTGGAATGGTCTTTCCTAACTGCTGTCCACAACTTGTCAAGAGTTTGTGTCCAGGCTGTAGGGTGTTCGATCAAGAGATCAGGCCAGTGAAAGGAAACGGGTTAAAATCTGCATCCTTTGTTGTGCAAGCATGAAGGGAAAAAAAAAAAAACAATCAAAAGCAGTATCAGATTTGTGAACTGCGGTCGGTCCTGGAAGCAGTGCCCTTAGACAAAATGTGGAAACACTGGGAAGCAAACAATTGGGTCTGAGCGTATTCTGTCTATCTGCCTGCCTGCCTGCCTACCTCTTGTCTGTCTCTCCCTCTCTCCCTCTACTTCTTTCTCCTCCCCCTCCCTTCTCTCCAGATTCTCACTATGTGACCCTGGCTGTCCTGGAACTCATTATATAGACCAGGCTGGCCTCAAACTCACAGATCTGCCTGCTTCTGCCTCCCTAGTGCTGGGATTGAAGGCGTGGGTCACTAGCCTGACTTTCAGTGCACTCTGATTCTGAATTGTGAATGAAGTAGAGGCTGATTGAATTTTACTGACTGTAGAAATCTACAGGGCCTTACCCCTTTAACAACTGAACCTTAGCTGACTCACTGAGGAGCCCTGACTATTAGAAACTGAGAGGATATATGAGAAATAAAAGGTGACTCATGCTTTAATGAGTTTGACATAGTTTTGTAGTGTCAGGCCAACGACACAATGTATAAATCTATAGTTAGCTACTCTAGAGGACAGTGATGTTTCACACTTGAGAACACTTTCTTGTTTAAACTTTTATTTCCTGCGTATGAGCTTTCTGCCTACATGGTACATGTGTACCACCGGCACGCACATGTCCCTAAAGGTCAGAAGAAGTTGTACCAGTTTCCATCCCTTTCCAGCAGTCTAACTATGAGCCCATCTAAGATAACTGACCCACGGATGAGCTCTCCAGATGCAGTCACTTTAAAGCTCTTCAGAGCCAGCCTTTGGGGAGTTATAGATCTAAGCCATAACCAAAAGGTCCTTTTATCAAACAGTTTTCTTCTCTCTCAAGCAAACAAAAGCAAAATTAACTAGAAATGATGTTCAGTTGTCTTTCTCAAATCTGTAAAATCATTTGTTCTGTGTTGATAGAGGCAGGGGTGTGGGGGTCAGAATAAACCATTTAGATGTGTTAGGTCACGCATGCTGTGTATGTCAGATCACATGCTATGATCTCATGAGGAGATCAAAGTTTGCTTGTATTTTTTTTTTAGTTGTCAAAGTATTTTCTGGATCAGGTGTGGTGAATACTTGTGATCCTAAAATTTAGGAGGGTGATGCAGGAGGACCACCATAAATTCAAGGCTGGCTTAGGTTATGTTATAATGGCAACTCCTAACCAGGAGTTGTGATTCCTTTCAGAGTCAAACAGTTCTTTCACAGGAGTCACCTAAGACCATTGGGGAACACAGATATTTACATTATGATTCATAAGAGCAAAATTACAGTTATGAAGTAGCAAGAAAAATAACTTTATGGTGGGGGGGGTCACCACAACATGAGGAACTGTATTAAAGAGTCACAGCATTAGGAAGATTGAGAACCATTGAATCTTTTCTCGAAAATAAACAAAGCTGGGTGTGGTGACATCTTTAATTCCAGCACTCAGGAAGCAGAGGCAAGTAGATCTCTTGAGTTCCAGGCAGCCTGGGCTACAGAACAAGTTGCAGGATAGCCAGGGCTACACAAAGAAACAATCCTGTCTCAAAACAAACAACAACAACTGTCCTCCCCAAACCAAAACCTTTTCTGCTTGAGAGCTATGATTTTTTTGTGTGTACATTTTCTCAAAACAAAAATCACTTTGTTATGTGGAATTCAAATTTCTATGGCCATAACAGATATTTGACTGCCAAACATATCAGTCTGTTAAATACTTCTTTTTTTCCATTTCCCCCCCCACCTCACTTTTCAAAAAGTGTGTAGCCACTGTGTTAACCAACGTTCCAAGACTGTGACAGGAAAGTAAGATAACGTCAGACGAGGAGAGTTTATTTCAGCTGACAGTTTGAGAGGATACAGTTATCTTTGGTCAGTCCCACGTTTTGGGGGCCTGTAGTAACACATCATGATGGGAACTGTGTGATAGAGAAAGGCTTCTTGCTTGTCTGTTGCTGGGAAACAGTGAAATTGGAAGGAGCCAGGCCCTATACCCTCTTCCAGGGCACATCCCTCACCCCCAGGGACCTAACTTCCTTCTCTTCTGCCCTATGTCCTAAAGGGTCTACAACCTCCCAATGGTTTGCAGACCTCAGAAGCCTTTAAGCGACACTTGTGTAAACCATAGCAGCTATCACGAAAAACTTTATTCTCACATCTTCCTTTTAAAAAAAAACAAAAACAAACAAACAAAACCCTCAGTCCTTTCTTTTTCAACCAGGGAGTTTAGAGGCTCAGGATTTTTTTTTTTCCCCCAGCTAAAGATTGTTAAGGGAGAGAAGGATGGTTGTGAGACCTCAGAGCACACAGAGCTTTAACTCTGGACTCCATAGGTAGCTGTATGTATTCAAGGCAGAAGAGAGGTTTACAAACGCACCGGAATTGTGTGGTTTAGTGATACAGATGTGAAACAACGGTAGCTCTTCTACAATTTGAAAGGAAAACCATGACTGCAAGAATACTTGAGATTACAGATGTTTGGGCAGGGAGATCACTCAGACGGGTAGTGGTGGAGGCTGACTCAGGTCTCCTAGTCTGTCAGGTCTTGCTGACTTCAAGTGGGAGCTCCATGCCTGCTCACATCAGCCCACCCAAGTTCTACCCTCTGCTACTGCGAGGTGATAAAAATTCATCAGACTCACAGAATGGTTGAACTCAGATGGTGATAAAATCCCAGTATAATTCTCTCCAAAGAATGTTCTGATTAATAGAAACTGCAGAGGAACTAATTTTATGAAAATGGCAAATGGGATTGTCTCAGATGAAGTGAGCCGAGAGAGTTGGTGCTGTCGCCAAGCAGGAAGATGCAAACAACCCCATTGTGTGGCGCTGACAGCTCCAATCCTGCCTTTTTACTCATTAAATGTCTTTCCGCTGTAAATTATTAAGCTTGGATTTGGGGAGATGTGGAAGCTGACAGAACAAGACAATAGAACAGAAAGCAGACCTGGATCCTTTCCTTCAGTATTATTTCAGCATTGTGTTTTGTGAAAAGCCTTGTCCCCCCCACCCCCCAGTGTTGGAGAAGGAGGAGGATTTTCTCTTTGGGGAGCTCAGAAACAGACAAGTAACATGCTTTTGATTTAGGAAGCATTTGCTAGTACTTACAAATTGGAATGGTTTTCAGAGAAAATTCAACCTGTTGGCTCAATAACCGGGTAGCAGATATTTTGTGTATTCTCTGAAAGGATTGTTTTTACCCAGACAAAGGAGAGCTTGGCCGGCCTTAACATTGGTAAATACCAAATTAAATATTTCAGGACACAAAGCTGTCATATCTAGTTTACTCTTCTGATATCTGGGAAGGCCTTTCCTACTGGGAGAGAGCTCCAGGGTTTATTTCTTAAAGCCAAAGAGCAGGAAAAGGCAGGGGTCAGGGAAGAAGTTGAATCCGGATGATGTTCTTATTCATTTGAAAAACTGGTATTGTGATAAAGAAGCAAGTCGTAGACTAGTTCAATTTGTACCCTTTGCCTTCTAGACAACACAATGGAGGGACATGGCTATGCTTCTTAGCCAGCTACCATCTCCTTACCTCTCAGGGGGACTAATAACACGCACATCAGTTGGTTGCCTGTGGATTTGGGGAGATGTGGGAACTGACAGAATTTATTGGAACTGAACACACCTTCCTTAGCCGTCAGGCAGTATTATTTTATCAAAGATTGGTAGAGATTAAGTTAATCTCTTGTCTAAAATTATACACTCAGTTGGACAGAGAAAGTTCCAGACACCTGTTCCATCAGGACAACATTTCTTCCATCTATTTCCTTTCTCAGGAAGTGTGTACCTTCCTTGGGATGAGGCTGGTGTTCTGTAAGCTGTGGTGGTTTGAATAGGTATGGCCCCCCGTAGACTCACGTGTTTGAATGCTCGGGCCTATAGGGAGTGGCACTATTTAGGAGGTGTGGCCTGGTTGGAGGAAGTGTGTCACCATGGAGGTGGACTTTGAGGTCTCTTATGCCCAAGCTACACCCAGTGTGACACATGGTTTCCTTCTGTTGCCTTTGGATCAAGATGTAGCATCTTCAGCAACCTCTCCAGCATCATGGCTACCTGGATGCTGCAGTGCTTCCCACCATGATGATAATGGACTAAGCCTCTGACACTGTAAGTCAGCCCCAATTAAATGTTTTCCTTCACGAGAGTTACCATGGTCATGGTGTCTCTTGA